TTATACCTATAAGTGTAAGTTAAAATTAAGAAATAGAATCCTGAATGATTCAGATAATCGGTAACTGGAAGTTGGCAACTATAAAGTCTAAGCAGTAACCGTATATTCGAAAGTTAGTCTCAGAGAACATAGAACTGCTAAGAGTCGGTGCTTAACGAAAGGAATTGATTCTGTCATTTACAAGGATAGACCCACATTATCGGAAATGGACCAACATAATCGCAAACGTAAAAGGACCTATTCGTTACAAATTAATAGTTCTTACGAGGCGTATTCTTTAAAACCTTTCAAAACATAAAAGACTAGAATCTTAAGTTGTAAAGTTTTCCTAGTTAAAAACTTTCTCATAAAAGTTTATAGCCCAAAACTGCAAAATGTAAGAAGCTTCTACTAAAAGTTATATGTATATTTTTACGTACTCGGTAAGTATATAAAGCTATAATTAATTACTAATTACCTTTCTATGGTGATCATAAAGTTAAACCATAAATCTTGGTCATTTTAGCAGAACTGATTTCCAGTTGAATTAATATTTAATTAAAACGAATAAATATAAAACTTGCACTGAGAAAACAACTCGATTTTAATAATTGTTCCCATTTTAATAAACTTTTGACGCGTCAAGAGCAAAAACAAATAAAAAAGCTGCATAAAATTTGTTATTTCACCTTAATCAATCTTATAACTTTAAGAATAACTAAACAATTTTATATTATATTTTTCATTTCATTATTAATTTTTGGATACACATATTTTGTATAATATGTGAAAAATATTTCATTCAGTTATATTTACCTTTTCGCATAAACGAATTTAACTACTTAGTCGTAGAATAAATAAGGTACATTTTAAAATCAGAAAAATGTATTTAAATATTTGATTGAATGATAAAAAAGTACAAATCGTTTTAGCGCTCGTCTAAAGGCGATAAGACAGGTTTTCTAAACTCAGATGCAAAAGAAAAACGCTGCAAATCAAATTACGCCCATCCAGCAGAGTTATGTATTTCTTCGCTGAATTTCTCGCTAGGAATCTTTAACCTTTCAGAAATTAAAACTATAAATTAGACAGGAACATCTATAAATAGCTGAAAATTTTATGTTGTTTAATTTTATAAAATAGGATATCGTATTAAATCAAGCTGACGTATACGATTCTACAGAAAATTGTGTCGACGAATAATACTTAATTTACAGGGAAATGTTGAAGTAGGAAAAGGATTCTGTCCATAAAAAGTAAATTAATGAGAGATGCCACGTTTTTTTTAAATTCTCCGTGGGACATAAGTATTTACTGACTACAATTCTCCTTGAAATGTAATCCCAGAGGTATTTAATTAGAAGAATGAAAAATTCACAAGCTGGTTCATTCTGCAAAAACTTCTAATTGTAAAGTATTCGGAAATGTCTAGAATGGGTGACAAGAAGAGTCAACTATAAAAGAAATTGTCGTCTGTCATGTGTCACAATGAAAATCATCTTTTATTTCAGATTTGTTAACTTGTCATTGGAGATGGTTTAAATTAAATTGTAATTTTCCAAGTTTCTTTTTGAGATAACTTTTAAAAGACGCAATCAATCAACAATTAAAAAAAATTTAGATATTAAAAAAAACAGGTGTATATGTTAAAAATCACCCTTATTAGATTTATTTTTACAACTTTAATGCTCTTTGTACACTATCTGGACAAACTGTAAGGGTGACATATTTATAGACTGTAAGATTATCACTGGACCAAATTTATATTTAATTCGATTTGTTTAATTTCCAATGGTAAACTTATGTTTACAATAATTATAACTATGTTCAATGAATAGTGATTAGAATGTAGTATTGTCTTAAACATACCGTTTTCTCCAGGTATTCTAATTCTAATTTCAAATTAATATTTACACGCATATTTTTCTTCTAAATTGTTCAGTTATCATATACAGGGTGTTCCGGTACTTATTACAGAAAGTTGAGCACACATGATGAGGTCAAAATAATATCAGTTCTTCATGTAAATTTTTTTCATACGGGCCTTCGTTAACAAGTTACGGTCCCTCAAAGGTTAAAAAGTTATTTTTATTTACAATCTCTAAACGATTAACTTCAGCATGATCGATAACACATGCGTATAGCTTGTTTTTGATGTTGTAAGTGAAACTTCATTATGCCCAGAATGCCAGGGACAGACTATGCCCAATGGTTAACAACCCAGAATAATTGCATAGATGACGATCGCAATCTGCTAGCAACAAAAATAAGTTCCCTGAAGAATTTGCCACCGATAATACCCTCTTGGTAAAATTAACAGTTTAGGATATATTTGTGATTTTATGTCACAGTGCACATCGAGCGACGTCTCCACCAATTTTTGTTTTTCATTTTTAATTGGACATAATTACTATGTTAGAGATAACGAGCGTTCAAATAAAAACGTGGTCAAGTTGTTTCTGAAAATTTGGACGTAGGGCGTAGCGTATAGCAAATGAACTTAAACGTCATCTGTCAAAGCGCTATATCGCCGCTATCAATTTGAATATTTTCNTGTAAGATTATCACTGGACCAAATTTATATTTAATTCGATTTGTTTAATTTCCAATGGTAAACTTATGTTTACAATAATTATAACTATGTTCAATGAATAGTGATTAGAATGTAGTATTGTCTTAAACATACCGTTTTCTCCAGGTATTCTAATTCTAATTTCAAATTAATATTTACACGCATATTTTTCTTCTAAATTGTTCAGTTATCATATACAGGGTGTTCCGGTACTTATTACAGAAAGTTGAGCACACATGATGAGGTCAAAATAATATCAGTTCTTCATGTAAATTTTTTTCATACGGGCCTTCGTTAACAAGTTACGGTCCCTCAAAGGTTAAAAAGTTATTTTTATTTACAATCTCTAAACGATTAACTTCAGCATGATCGATAACACATGCGTATAGCTTGTTTTTGATGTTGTAAGTGAAACTTCATTATGCCCAGAATGCCAGGGACAGACTATGCCCAATGGTTAACAACCCAGAATAATTGCATAGATGACGATCGCAATCTGCTAGCAACAAAAATAAGTTCCCTGAAGAATTTGCCACCGATAATACCCTCTTGGTAAAATTAACAGTTTAGGAAATATTTGTGATTTTATGTCACAGTGCACATCGAGCGACGTCTCCACCAATTTTTGTTTTGTCATTTTTAATTACATAATTAGGTACTATGTTTGAACCGTACATATTTTTAAAATAAGAGCCTAGAAAATCTTACTGTGTGCTAATGCAATTTTCACTAACAAAATTTGACAATGTCTAATATTATCACAGTGGAAATTAATTCTTTGTAGCAATTCATTACTTGTATGTACTGAGGTTGCGTGCACCAAACTTTTCAGGTATCCCCACAGGAAGAAATCCATCGGGTTAAAGTCTGAAGAACATAGTGGCCATGAGATTGTGCATTCTCTCTCAATCCATTTATTATTAAACACGACGTATAAATAATTTCAATTAAATCAATATTGAAATGGAGAGGTGCTCTATCGTGCATGAACGAAACGTTTCTTTGGGTGTCTAATGGAACATCGTTTTAATAGTGGCTGCAAATGCTCCAAATATTGATGTGCATTCAGACGTTCCTCGAAAACGTATGGACCTATTGAATTATTACCCCAGAAATGCTTTTTCGTGTACAAACATATAATATTCGTAGACTTAGCAAGTGCGTGGCGGTGGAAACTGTATTTTGATAGTTTTCTTTCCATTAAATTATTTTTTAAATTACTTATTTTTGTTTTGTTTTTCTATTTTGTGTCATGTACAAATCGTATTCGTCAAATTCTGTTAGTCAAAATTACATTAGCAGACGGTAAATTTTCTAGGCTCTTACTTTAAAAATATTTCTAACATAGTAATTATGTCCAATTAAAAATTAAAAACAAAAAATGGTGGAGGCGCCGCTTGATGTGCACTGTAACATAAAATCACATATATTTCCTAAACTGTTAATTTTACCGAATTGAACGAAGAAGGTATTATCGTTGGCAAATTATTCAGGGAACTTATTTTTGATGATCGTGATCTATGCAAAAATTCTGGATTGTTAACCGTTGGGCATAGTCCGTCCCTGGCGTTCTGGGCATGATGAAGTTTCATTACAACATCAAAAACAAGCTGTACGCATGTGTTATCGATCACCAAATTTGCATCATGCTGAAGTTAATAACTTAGACACTGTAAATAAAAATATTTTTTTATTTTCAACTTTGATGGCCCGTAACTTGTTAACGTAGGCCCGTATGGATAAAATTTATATGCAGAACTGATATTATTTTGACCCCATCTATTTGTACTCGACTTTTTTGTATCAAGTTCCCGGTACTTGATACACGCTGTATATTTTAACTCGAACGTACGTTTTTTACATTTCAATGAAAATATAATTTTTAGGTACACTGCCGGCCCTTTGAAAGTGGACAATTTATTTTTTTAATGTGATATGGTCTACTTTTCTTATTATGACGTTATGAAGTTTTTATATGTCAGTGTCATTAGTAATTTGCTTGGTAATTTAAGATGCCGCGTTTAACGGAACCAGAGAAAGTGAGAGCTATAACTTTACTTCAGAATGGTTGGTCATTGCAGATGATCTGCATGCATGCAAGAACAGCATATTTAAACTCAAAGAAAAATGGAATGCTCACTAGAACTAGTATGATAGACACACATTTGATATAATGACAGCCGATTTGAACCTTAGATTTTCAAGTCAGCTTCACAAAGGCCAATTATAGACAATTTGCTTATAAGAGTCGTCCACTTTCAAAGGGTCACTGTACAATGACTACTTTTTTTATAAAGTAAAGAATAAAAATGTTTTCCTTCAACATTGAAAAATGTTAAGTTAGTTTTGTAAATACAAGATTTCAAGTTACCCTAAGTAACATGAAATAATTCGATGTCTTTTTTGTTTTTTAACGTGAAATAATTCAGTTGAACTAGAAATAACTTACCATCTGTATTAACAGCAGAAACGTACTTCCAGCCAAAGTACCTAACGATGTCCAAAATAACTTGCGCCTGATAATAATCGGAAGGGACAACTCTCAGGAAATAATTATATCGACTTTTGTCCGAGAGGTCCTTAGAAGTCGTTGAATATCCGATCTGGGGCAGGTGAAAGAGCTGCAGCAAATTTTGCACTTGCAGAGCCACCGAACTGGAGCCTGGTCCCACCACCCCAATCAAGGGCCCCCTGCTATCCGCCTGGTTGAGAGTCGAGTCGGACCCTTCGCTGCCAGGACAAGAATCTATCGGAGACACCGGCGTGATAGCGTCCCTGATGAGTTCGATACTTTGCTGCAGGGCCACGGGGGCATTCCAACATTCATCTCGGATTTCCACCCCGAGCGTCAGATTCGGCAATAAATTCGGGTCTCGGTTAATTTTGTCCAATGTTTGGAAGGTGACTTCCACCCTTTGAATGCCGTAATGTTCTCTGATAACCCCACACTTTAAGCCCAGGCTGGCTATAAGTCTTTTCTTTGAGGAAGGCCTTTCGTGGAGGGGAAACAAAGCGCCTATTATGAAATCCCCGTTGACGAACGCCGAGACGCGTTTGTCCTGGTCGGTGTTTTCGGCTTTATCAGGTAGTTGCGTCAGTACGATGGCTAGTAGTAGTGTTGCGTACCAATTTCCATTCATCGTTCTCCTTTTTGTTGCACTTATTTTCTGGGCGATGAACTGTCCTCATCTTTATGTTATTCTGAAACAAATAGCTCATATAGTGTCAAGACTACAGGTTTTAATTGAAATAAGTTTTCTTCAATAGTTAAGAACTTTGAAAATTAAACATAAAACAGTTTATATTCTAAAGTATTTCAACATTATAATATAAAAAATAAACAATAATATATGTAATATAACGCAAACTTCCGAAAAAGTCCGAAGCTTAATATATAAGGGGTACTAAAAAGTTCTCTAGGAGATGAATAGTAGTCTTGCAAGTGATAAATGGTAGAAATGGTAGATATCCCCTGCACCACAAGGCTAGGAATTGGATAAAATATTTCTATGTACCAATTCTCCAGATAGTTGTATAAGTAAAACCATGTTTTCTGTAGTAATTTTTTAAAGTGTATTAATAATTGCAAGGTTTGTTCAGAAAATAACCGAACTATATTTTTTTAAACTAACTTTATTATTCATTGTATATTCCTGGATAGCTTCATTTGAAATGGCCTTTAAGGTCTGTGACGAATTTGCTTTGATGCCATCAGCACTTTGAAAACGGCGTCCTCTCAGCACTAATTTCGGAAATAAGAAAAAATTGTAAGGAGCCAGGGCTGGCGAGAAAGGAGGATGAAAGGGAATAGTAATCTTTTTTTTGGCACACAACTGACGAATTGACACCACTGAACCATTGTCTCGCCACAACTCTGGTCTCTTTTTGCGGATTTTTTCCCGTAACCGTTGTAAAACACCTTTATAGTACACACAATTCACTATTTCACCTTGAGGCAAGAATTCAAAGTTCGAGACTGTCATCGTCATTGAGTTGTTCAACGAGTTGTCGACAAACGTACACACGATTTTCTTTCTGTTATTCGGTCATCAAAAGAGGAACAATTTTTCAGTTAAAATTTCATGGCATGACCCAACTGAGATTCTAATATCTTCTGCAATTTCTCTGATAGCCAATCAGCGATTTGCACGCACCAGGTCTTTGACTTTCTGAATATGGAAGTCATCAGTTGAAGTCCATAGCCTTCCTGGTCGAGAATCATCTTCAATTGACTGACGACCACTTTTCGTAACATTGCTTATGATCCAGAGCATCATCTCTGTAAGTTTGTCTCAAAAGTTGAAACGATTCCGTGAAAGTTTTCCCTAGTTTCACGTAAAATTTTACGTTGCATTCTTGTTCAAAAAATCGCACATTTCAAAAACCGTCACTAATACTTAAAACGTTGCACTCAAATAACAATATCACGAAAATTAAATGAGATATGAACAATCCAAGAACATGTGGTTACAGAGAAGGTTATGCGCAACGCAATGCTGCCAACCACATGTCATATATCTCCATTACCACGTAATTGAAAAAGTTATTTTCTGAACAGGCCTCGTATTTTTGTTTTGTTAAAAACCGTGTTTAAGCTATATCCCTTGTGCGACCAGGGAGTAGTCATAACAATAGTAGGTATACAGAAAATAATATAAATATGTTTTTAATATGAAGCCAAATCCATGTCATATACAAAATGACTAGTATCAAATGTTAGCTAATTTGTTTATTTTTATCAATACCTAGTCTATAAATATGATATAAACTAATGCAAAAAATTAGAAGGCCAATAGAATTTCCGAAATTTTTCTGTGATTTTTGACAAACGGTAAAAATGTGAGAAAATGTTAATCATGATTATGAAGTGTTTAAGCTAAAAAAACGTGACCCTTTAATTTTTTTCAAAAGTTTCACTGTTTGAAACAAAGAAACGGTTCACTAGATCGAGATGAAACTTCACAGGGTTCTTCTGGGTATATTGAACTGTAAAATTTATACTTAACTTTAGTCATTTCATCAATATTTCTAATTTAGCCGTCAATTTTCTAAAAACCTATAAATTACCCTTTTTTTCCGTGTAAAATTTGTGTAAAAGATGAAAAAATAAAATTTTCCGAAAAGTTACTGCAGCATGTTATAGGAAATTTATTCCAGTCTTCGAAACTGCCCTTCAAGTCTCTGTATGACCATTTGTCGCCGAGATATCGATGATTGAAGAGAAAAGGATCCTACTCCATTAAAAGTCCGCTATTTCGATGAAAAATGGTCATATCGAAATTAAAAAAAAAAGGAAGTTGAAGCTGAATAAACAAGCTATCTGGTCCATGCAATGGCTTAAGTGAAAAAAAAATTTCCAAGTTCGTGGAAAAAAAATAAAATTTGCAAAAATTTTTTGTCGCGCTGTTTCTTAGAATTGCATGATAACCGTAACTTCTAAAAAATTTCAACCGAAAAATCTAAAAACTAGAATCTTAGAACTTAAAATGCTTTTCTTAAATTCCCGATACGACCATTTTTCATCTAAATATAGTCTGTCAAAAATCACAGAAAAATTTTCGAAAATTCCTTTTGACCTTTAATTTTTTGCATTAGTTTAATATTTCATTAAGAATGAGATATAACTTAATCAGTTTTTGCAATATTTCAATAAGAATCATGTACCAAGAATGAATCATTTTACTAATCGAGTTGAAAATTTCAGCAGATAATTTTCCTCTGGTCTGCACATCTGTCGTCATGGGCGTAGCCAAATGAAAGCAGAATGTTATGTTATGAATCTTTATTTCTGAAAAATTATTTTCTTTAAGAAGTTTATGCAAATTCGTTGACAAATTCTAAAAGAGACAAATTTGTAATAACAAAAAATTTGAGAAAAATCCTTTTTAATCAAAAATGCTACTTTTTATCTCCTGTTTAAATTTAACACCTTAATTTCAATCAAAAATCAAAATCAACTATGGAATTTACACGGTGTTTTTAAACCCATGTTATATTAGTGTCGTGTTCTTTGAATCATTTTTGGCTAAAAATTGTTATTATACCTACTTAGGTTCTAAACCCGTTGTTTCAACGGTAGAAGTTGTTGACGTTAATATAACATTTTTTAAATATCTTTGGTTGAATTCATTTACAAATTGGTCACCCATTGGCAGAGATACCTTAAGGTGGCACAGTCAAAATTTCCTCGCCTATGATTTTTTTTGGAAATTCGGTTGGGGCATTTGATTCATAATAATATTTCAAAGAAAATCTTCAATTTTATTCAAAAAACAAATAAGTAATTTTTAAATTATTATTTTTTTAAATTGAAAATTAGCTTCCTACACTGCTGAATAAATCAAAAATAATTGCAAAACTATTCGCTTCGCAATAAAAAATTATTGAGATTTTTTGTTCTGAGGAATAATGTAGAGCTCCATCATTCTCAAAAAATTTAAATGTTTGTCAAATGAAATTTTTTTTACGTCCATACGTTTTCTTATGTATCGAATAGTTTTGGAGAAATTTTTAATTTATTCAGTAATGTCGTTATTTTAAATTAAAAAAGCAATAATTCGAAAGCTACTTATTTTCTGAGGGAGAATTCTGGGGTTTTCAATGCCAGAGCTCCTCGATATCTTCGTCACTGATTGAAATATTTGTGGACCAATTCACCGAATTTTCGTCTTTAATTAATTAAACCAACAGTTAATTAATTAATTTACTGAATTATGATTACAACAGTACTATGAACTTAAAATGCATCCTGCATTCTTGAAAAAGATCGTCTTGCAACTAGATTAAATTGTGTTATAAGGAACTATCGATTTCTGTTTGCACATTTTAATCCAGACAAAGTTACCATTTTATAATATCGCACCCCTGAGAGTCATCCAGCTTACCAAACCATACGGGAAACATTCTAGAAATAGAATTTCAGAGTACCTAACTGATAAATTAATTGCGAATCTCTTTTGCCATTACACATTTTGTGATGATTTATCTTTGTGTTTAAACAAGGGATAACTTAATAGACCGAAGTTTTTAATAAAACCCGAGGGGAGAATTACAGGTTTAAGGTGGAACGTAAGTTTTACCGGAGTTGGTGAGAATTCTTGTATTTTAAAACTATTTTGCCTTTTAAAGCTAAGGAAATTGCTAACTTACAAGGGGGTTCTAAAAAGGAAATTTACTAATTTCCATCACCGTTTATTCGCTCATTTCAATTTTAATGTAAAGTAAAGAAGGATATTATTGAATAATCTTCTATGTTTTGCGAATATTATAGAATACAGTCAATTTGAAAGTAAATTGAAATTCAGTTTCACTAGCTTCTGTGAAATTAATTAGATATTACATAATAATATGAAATAATACTTATGAAGTTAAATATGGAATATAAAAGAAAATAAAATAGTAGCACAATCCGTACGATAGTTGTTGAAATATTCCAAGACGACACCTGTGCTACTTTCTTGGAATTAACCCGAGGTAAAAAGACATTGGCGGCGTGGCGATCACCGTAGCAGCTTGTAGTGCATATTGTGTTTTGCAGTTACGAAGGTGTAACTGTATTCTAGTATATTTATGATTTGTACTGTACTGTACTGTACTGTACCGTAAAAGAAATAAAAACAAATTTTAATGCAAAAAATCTACTTTATACGAGTCGCTCAAAGTGAGTGGCCCATAGATTATTTCAGATACCTACATGCTCTTACCCAAATATGCTGATTTCGACGATTAAAAAGTTCATCCCAGGTAAATTTTGACTCGTCCGTTGATTTGACCTTATTTAAAGAATTTGCATTTTCTTGAAGTTTAGTTAAAACTAACTCATAAAAACTTTACTCTTCATGGAAAATCTTCGGGATTTAAAGCTTGAAGTGTTGCAAACTTATAATCCTGCATTACGTTCAATTGATCTTCTTGAAATGCATGACTCCTATCCAGCACAACGTTGAGATGAATGAGGATTGGCCTCAAAATTTGTTAAAACATCGATTATACTGTCTTCATTTGTAACAGGTTTTAGTAAGGTTCTTGTAGACTTCAACGCAGATCCGAAATTAATGAAATTTCTTTGTAATCTTCTTCTTTCATTAAATCTTCTACACGTTGTGCTAATATTCCTGTGGGTACACATGTTCGCAAGTGACCCATTTTTAAGCATTACGTCAAGAGCGCCAGCAGGACGCAGTCGGACGCACCAGCGTTCC